GAGAGAGAGAGAGAGAGAGAGAGAGAGAAAGAGGAAGAATCCTGACCATAATGTGTCCTGTTATTGCATTTCACTTTCCTCGGCGCGTCACATGCCAGTTTCTCTTCATCCCATATCATGTTTCCTGGGCATGCGTAGTACATGTCGTACGTCCGGTTTCCGTACTCTGGTCCTTTATTGCACCTCACTATGTACGTGTTACACGTGGTGGGGTCCGTCAACTTCTCGCAAGTTGAATTAGCTACATGACAAAAGTGACAAAAAGGAGAATCCTTTAGAAACCACTTAAAAACTGATAACGATTCAGACACTAAAGAGAGAGAGAGAGAAAATGTGTCTCAGTTGGAAATCATATTGTTATAGTCATTTTTCAACTGATGATATTGTTTTACTGTTTTCGTAAAGAGAAGGCTTTTTTTTAGATATTTGCAATGTTAATTCTGAAAGGAAAAGAAAATGTTTGTTTGTTTTTTTTATTTGACAACGATGGAAATTCAATACATAATTCGTTACCGGTTACGTTTCTGAGCGGTTCCTCCATTTTCTCACAGATGGCCTCCCGTGGGTGTTTGCACACGCTGGTGATGGAGTCAAAGTTGTTTTCGTCAGGACAAAACTGTGCATTGGCCACTTCTCCATTCACACAAGTGATAAATCTACCGCAGTCGGATGGATCCGGTAGGATTCCGTAAGGTACTTTACACTTTGGGACAGCTGTGGATGTGATAAAATAATCTGGTGTGAGAAAAAGGGTTTTAAAATCCAGTCTTTATTCATTTGATGGTACTGAGAGCGGTCGTTTGGTCGGCTTTTAATATATATATATATTTTTTTTTATGGATATAAATCGAAAGAAAAATCTCTTATTCTAAGACGAGATAAGTGGCCATGTTTGGAAGGCCAAACTTTGAAAGGGTAAACCAAACTAAGTTATCAAGACGTCCCGGAGAACAATCTGAACTGATGCGGTATCCATCCACGGATATCTTACAGCCTCAATATATCAGGACCAAAAGGAACTGGGGATATCTTATCCACAAGGGTACAAAACAACGGCTGCGTTTTGAGACGAACGACTCCGTTTTCAAACGAACTGGCATCAAAGAACCCTACCTTTATCAGCTCACCGTGGTCATTTCCCTGGAGTGAACTGTGTCTTTAGCATTAGGCTGCAAAGCTGCGAGATCCCGCTAGTAATTGCAGCGATGAAGTGATCGTGACCAATAACTTTGACCTTCTACGGCCATTATTATGGTTTTATAATGATATAATTTGGCAACTTTTTCTGATAGTATCACACTGTTGAAATTGAGTGGATACACTGTACAAGTTTGTTAAATGCATGTAGATGTAAAGATCGACGTCATCGCCATAATTTTGAGATCATACTTAAGGCCCAACATTTCTTATCGAGTGCACGTTTATTTATTATTATTTTTTCGTGCGTGGTTGCGTGTGTGTGTGCGTGAGCGCGCGTGTGTATGTGTGTGTTTTGTGTCATTCATGTGTATAAATAAGTTTCCCACATATTTGGAACGAATTCAACTGATAAAATTACGAATTACTGTAGAAAATCTCTGGTTCTGGGTCCGGGATGGTGTCAACTAATGACGTGTCGTTGACGTCATAACTTGACGTCAGGAACTCTGACACCTCGCTGGCGGCAGAGAACACGAACCCTGTGTTGTCCACAGTAATGGTCACTTCCGCGTCCTCACTAACGGTCACCTCATCCTGCAGCACGTTGGTTCTCAGTGGCCGTGCTGTAGACTTGTGATTTGGAGCCATCTCAGTACAACTCCCAAAAAGCTCTGCTTCACCTGAAAATGTTTTTTGATTCTTTTTATTTAATATCCCAGTTTTACTACTGAAGACTACGCACAGTTTACCCTCATCCTGTATTTCTCAATTAAACCAATGAAACTCCAGATCTCCCCACAACTGAATGCAAACCTTCACCAAAATGTAAATGGTAATGAAGCATAAGAGAATACAAGATCGAGAGCCTGTTTAATTTGTAATCATTTCTTTCCTTCCTTTGAACCACCCTTATCAAATTTTGTGAAAACTG